ACAGCCGGACCAGCAGTATTCGGTGAAGCTCGACCAAAACGACATCGTCGACATTCAACGTTTGTACGGTGAAAAAATTCCGAACGATCCGTCGCGTCGGACGCCAGCGCCGCCGCCGCCGCCGCCGTCGCCGGACCTGTGCAGCCTCGATCGCGTGAACGGGATATTGATTTTGGAAAATCGAATGTACATCTCGTACAAACGTTACGTTTGGTCGGTCGATCTGGACGGTAGGACGTACAACGGACCTTTAGCCCTCTCGAATCACATGAGCTTTCTTCACGACAATTACACGCGCGTGACCGCTGCCTATCAATCCACGTCCGGCAATCTCATGGTGTTCGTAGATAATTTGGTATACTTGGTTCAATATCCGGAATTTAGTCTGCGGCCAGGTTGGCCGAAGACCCTGCAAGAACTCGGATTTCCCGAAAACGCGCTGATCGACGGAGCGGTGAACACCCACAGAGGACGTTCCTACGTGGTGTTCAACGGTAACGCGGTGGGCGAGATAGACGAATGCGACAAGGACAAGAGAGTCGCCAAATTCACGCCCCTCGAGGCGACGTTTCCCGGAATACCGAAAGGCGTGACGTCGATATTCCGCTACATCGACGGCAATCTGTACTTCACCACTCGGGCGCAGTTCTACAAATTCAACGAATTTACGAAGACCGTCTCGTCGGCCGGTAAATTCGATCTGCGGATACTGAATATCGTCTGCCCTAAGGCCGAACTGCTGCAGCAGTTGCGCGATCTCCTCGATCGAATCGTACGCCTCAACGATAACTCGCTAACGTCGGCGAGCGATTATTGGAACGATGACGACACCGGAGTTCGGCTCTCCGATTTCCGCATCCGCCGAAGGAAGTAGACTACCGCGCAAATTTCCCACACCGCGCCACGCGCGACATAAGTCAGATCTTTCCTACTTATACCGACGTGTCCCTTCCAAAGCATCAGTGTCGCGTCGTCGGCCGAATACGACGCGTCGGAAAAAAAATCAGAAAGGAACGGTTACCGCGGCGCGAAATGTTCTCGACGTTGGCCGATCGACCCGCGCCAAGGAGTATTTCTCCTACGGAGACGGCGGATTTGGAGGCGAACAACAACGGCAATAAAAGACGGAGGATCAGTTCGATGGACGATCGCCATTATCTTCCTCGTCGCCAGGAATCGCGTCGCAGCTCTCATCCTCCAACCGACGCGCCCGTCGAGGACGATCGTCGTCGTCATCATCAGGAGTTTCGTTCCAACTTTCCCGTTGAATTGCCCCCTGTGCGCATCCTGACGACGCGTTATCTGCTGACGACGACTGGCTACAAGTACATAGCCATAGGTATCACAATTAAGACACCGTGGTACAGTCTTCATACCACGCCTTCGTACGTGGATATCGCCCTGGGGGACAAACAAGGAAGGGAAATCTCCCTGACGCTCGACATGTGGAAAGGACTGATCGAGCGCAAACGCGACGTATTGTCGTGCATGGAACGCGCTCTTTCCGACGTAACTCACCCCCCCTCGCCGATGTCGATCGGAGGGATGACAATGCGATTCGGAGTGATCAACAACGGGCTGATCGTACGTATAGAGCTACCCAACCTGGCTCGCGTGGCGATGGTGCGCATAACCCTGCTCAAGCTGTACGATCTCTAATTTTGCGTGGATCGCGTCATCCGTGCGCTGAGCGCGGCGACCGGGGAGGTCGACGCTAAGTTTTTGCGCTATCGGGAGATAGCCGCCGCCGCGATGAAAATGGAAACTTCGATTCAGCCTGAGATACAGAAGAGCGATTTCTTCGATCCTGATAACATCGTCGACTGCGAGATAGCCGCGCTATGTTTCGACTCCTTATAACGATGTCGCGTCTACGAAATGCATATATTCGCGCGAGCGAAACAATGTAAACGCGCTTGTATTATTTTTTGAATAAAAAAAAAAACTATATGCGTATCTCATCTGTGCACTCTCTCTTTCCGTTTCCCCCTTTTTTTCCAAATCCGTATACCCATCTCCGCGGTCGCGGCGATCGCGACGCCGAGTTCGAACGCGCGTTACATATATTATCGCGAATCATGAATTACAGGTCGAACGCGAGGTGAATGAAAATTATCGCGAACAAAGAGACGAGTCGTCTGACCGCGCTTACCCCCCGCGGTCGCGGCGATCGCGACGCCGAGTTCGAACGCGCGTTACATAAATTATCGCGAATCATGAATTACAGGTCGAACGCGAAGTGAATGAAAAAAATTGTCGCGAACGAAGAGACGAGTCGTCTCGCTCGTTCTCTCGACGAGTCGCGTCGGGGATGGGCGGGAAAACCGCGAGACAAAAGGAGGAAAACCGCGAGACGAGACCAAATTAGGAAACGACGAGAGCGACCGCGACGCCGAGTTCGAACGCGCGTCGAAAAAAAAAATTGTCACGCGTCGATCGAACGACGAGACGATGAGTCATCTCCATCAATCCCGATGAGTCGGGAAAACCACGTGCTGCCCGTCGCGACGCGGATCGAAACGACCTTCGGACCGAGAGTTAAAAAAACAAAACAAAAACGACGACGAAGACGGGCGCGCGACACCCCCCCGCGAAACGAACCATCTAGAACGCGTCGTTCTCCCCCCC